CCTGTATATATGTATTATAACCTGTATAACAGCATGAACATGTTATAAAGTGCGGGGAAAAAGGCCATAAATCTAATTCCTGTTCAAAAATAAATCTCACATGTTCCTTTTGTTCCAAAACGGGACCTATCGAAAACGTTTGCAAATGCAAGAGAACGAGGTTTTCCATGCAAACTGTGCATAATTATGGAGAATGCTCGGATATTTTCCACAGATTGCGCGTACGGGGGTGCCAAACGTAAAACCGTCGCGTTAGTACTTTCCCCCATCTGATATATTCTCCACAATAAATCCAAAGCTTGACTCAACAGAAAACTTATAGATGAAATGCAGTCTAAACGCGAGCGCAATATTTAGCGAGTACTTAAATAAAATCGCAATCGTCGCGTGGTTTACCATCCAATGGCAACGCTGTAATATATGCGCAATCTGTGGGAAATGACGAAGCCTTCGCACTTGCCTGCATGTTTAGGCATTTCGCGAAATCCCTAAAGAGAGGCAGGCAAAGTACGAACTGCAGCTCCGTTTCTCACTTTGCCTGTTGCATTCGCCATTTCGCGAAATGCCTAGGCATTTTGCAAAATGCCGGATTTCTCAAGGTAAGTTCATAGCTCTCCGTTCATACGTTTCCGTTCGTCCATTAGCCAATCAGAAGACAGCAAATTTTTAAATCGTACGTTGTCCGTTTACGACGGAAAAGTTGGTTGAAGTTGAACATTTACGTTTCCGTTGGTCCGTTTTTAACAAGAGTGAGGTTATGTTTGGTACGTTAACAGTGTTCACCTATTCGTTCTTCAGGGTAATAATCAGATAGCAACGTGTTCTTACTTTCGTACCATTTTTCAATAGATACTGAAAATCACGGAGGGTACAGTACAAAATAAAATTTAGGTTATGGTTATACGTTGCAAATGTACAATGTGGACGGATTGCTATGAACCACGGTGTAAGAATAAATGAACCTTAACGAAATGTTTCCGTTTAACAGACCAACGCAACGGATGAAGAAGGTGGGTTCATAGCTCTCTGTTCATACGTTTCCGTTTATCTGTTAGCCAATCAGAACACAATAAATTTTTTGTGTCTCCCTGCTTCAATGCTTTGTTTTCTGTAGCCAAATTAGTCCAGAAAGTTATGATTTGCTGGCCTAGGCCGGCAAAAATATCACTAAAAATTGGTTGGTGGAACTAATTTAATTTGCAAATGACATTTCTAAATTTAAATTAAATTGTTAGAATGATAGGCATATTTTTTGTGCAAATTCCATTTTAAGCACTTTATGGCTTGGTAACAGTAATACGTATATGTAAATGCGGTAGGTAAGTACCCTATTCAAGAATTGTACGTTTCACTTACAAGTTTTGGTTTAGTGCGGTTATGACACTTGTACCTACATGTTTACCAATGGGGATTTACGATAATTCAACCGGTTTAACCGGGTTGGTAGATTTTGCTATGGTTACAATTATTGAGACAATTGTTTCTATGGTGATTTCTACCAATCCGGTTAAACCGGTTGAATTATCGTAAATCCCCAATGGTAAACTTACGGTTTATGGCAAAAAACAGATAGGTAATTGAAAGTATAGGAAATTGAAGTTTACCTACTTCCACACTGGATGCCACGAATGCCAAAAAATGGTTTCGCATGTAAATTAACGCAGTCAAAAAACACAACACTAAACGGATGAAGAGTAACGACACTATATGATTTGTAATTACTATTGTTTCTGCCATTGTTAACATTAAACTGTATACATTATTCCATAAATTATATATCTACAAGCAAGTATATTTATCTGAAGATGACAGTTTCCGAAAAGGAGGTGTACGCATATGAAAACGGTTTCTTGTCGATATCTATGATGAAAATTTCCGATATCAGTTACTTCCGTATAGTAAGACCATAATAATCAAACGACACTGCATACAACAAATTGTAGATTTGCACGAAACAATCATCGGCCCTCTTGCTGCTCTCCTCGTAATCGACAGCCAACGAGAAGTAGATATCCAAACAAACTTGTTATCATTCTTATATGTAATGGAATTAATATGATAAATCAATTTGCAAATGAAAATATTGCAACCCAATTCCCAAAATAGGTGCAAGCACTAGCTGAAATTGAAATAAATTTCAAGGTTATGTTTCCCATTGAAATCAACTTACTACTTATTAGTTTTAGCGCAGCTTCTTTTAAATGTTATGAACTTCTTAAGACTGCGCTAAGCGCTTTAGAAATTTGTAATAATAATTAAATTAACGTAAATGCTTTGTTTATTCATTTAATTAAAAACTGGTAAATATCGGTTGTGAATTGACATGCTTGTGCTACCAACTGCCGACTGGTCTGTGCTACCGACATAACATCAAAATATTCGAAATTTGAATGCAAGTATGACTGCTTATAATTATACGAGGTAGAAATATAAATTTTAAAATGAACGTTGTTCCCTCAAATTTTTTACTTCGACACAAAAAATCTTGTGTATTACACGTCCATAAAAATGTTTTGCGAGTATTCGTATTGCAGGCCTCAGCTCCGCTTCGGCCTGCAAGCTTACTCACACTCGCAAACATCCATTTTCTGGACTTGTGATACAAATAACTATTTAAACCGTACGTCGTGTCGTCCATTTACAACGGAAAAGTTATTATTATCGGTGTTTCTTGTGAGAACTCAGGTCTAGCCTGGTTAACTAATCGCACGGATTAAAAATCAAGTAACGATTAGTGTCTGTGTCTGTGTCTGGTGAAGTTATGTAGGGTCCTTAAAAAAAAAAAATCACACACGTACATTGGACATCTAGGGATACTATGTAATTCGTACTTACCAACATACCTATTGATGGGCACAATAGCCAACGCTATCAGGAAAGAGGAAAACAAAACCAAACAAAAAAAATCACTATAATAATTCCTGTAATTTTAATAAATGGAGTTTATTGTGTAAGTGTTTCTTTGGCTTTGCGTTTGGGTTGAATACGAGTGGGTTGTGATAACGTGGTGTGCTTCTGTGAAGAAGGAGTTTTGTGTTTTTTAATTGTATTTATGGTGTTTCTTTGTTCCTGAGGTCGTATTTGTGTATTTTTATTTTATTATTATTATGGTCGGTGTTTCTTGTGAGAACTCAGGTCTAGCCTGGTTAACTAATCGCACGGATTAAAATCAAGTAACGATTAGTGTCCGTGTCTGTGTCTGGTGAATTTATGTAGGGTTCTAAAGAAAAATAAAAATAAAAATAAAATAAATATTCACACACTCACATTGGAAATCTAGGGATAGTATGTAATTCATACTTACCAACATAGCTATTAATGGCCACAATAGTCAACGCTATCAGGAAAGAAGATTATTATTATTATTATTATTATTATTACGTTTCCGTTGGTTCGTTTCAAGGTTATTTCTTGGGTCCGTTTTTTAACATGAGTAAGGTTATGTTTTGTTATAACAATGTTCGCCTATTACGTTCTTCGCGGTGATAATCTGATAGTAGTTTCCACGTACTGAAGATCACGGTGGATACAGTACAAAATATAATTTAGGTTATGGTCATACCTTGTAATTTGTAAACGTACGATATGGACGGATGGACACGAACCTTAACAAATTGTACCTACTATCCGTTTGACGGATCAACGCAACGGATGAACGGAGAGCTATGAACCCCCCTTTAGTTCTCAAAGATTCTCATCTCACACCATACATAAATAGACTTTAACATCTGCAACAAAGATGCAAGATTGGAATTGGATCCTGGTTCTCCAGTTACTATCATGGACTTACAGTCATTCCGAAGTATAGTGAGAGCAACATGGCCGTTGCCTCCAACATCTACGGCATTCCGCAGTTACTCAAACACGCCTATCATTCCTGTAGGAGCTACAACGGTGCCTGTTATGTACAATAACAATTCCTAGCCCAGCACTGAAGCAAGGAAGAGCCTTCGAAGCTACAAGCCATTCCCGATTCCGACTCGAATACCGTTAACCGACGCTAAATTTCTTGTAAAGGTTCGTGTCCAAAAATCCCTTTTCTCCCGCATTTGCGCAGAACGGTCCTACTCGAAGATTTCATGGTTGTTTTATACATACGTAGAGCGTTTAGTATTTTTCCCCGTACAGCATTCTTTCTCATGTGAAATGAGTTGCCTAACCATAGGGGTATTTTATCACAAGGAGGTTTATATATTGAATTATATGTAGTTCCCAAAAAACGCGATGTTTGCCCAATATTTCTGAGAACCAAATTTATTTAGATCCAGTGGGGCATTCGAAAACAAGATCGGTAAAGTAAAAACGTGCCTTTATATTGTTACAATAACTGAATTAGGTTAATTGTGGAAAAGTGTACGATGTGTTGCTTGCATCAGTTCTAGGGAGTCCTAAAATTGATCTAGGAACTTTCGGTCTATTAATACTTGTTGTTAGGAATTTTTATACCCTTACTTAGTGTTGGCAATAACTTGTGATCAACGAACATTTTCTAACGTCAAAAATTTGTCATCCTGTGGAAAAAGTTAATAAATACAATACGGTGAATTATAAATTAAAATTAAATTAAATAATTGACTCTTTAATTTGAATGTTGTGACAAGTTTTATTAATAAGAATTCGTTTTCGTTAACCTTAATAATATAATGGTGCAATTTCTAACAATTTAGCCCTTAAAGGCACTATGAAATGTCAAAATGTAAGTAATCTTTTGAATTTTAACATATAAACATTGCAAAATTGACCAAGTTGTAATCTATCAATACAGAGTTGTATATTTCTTTTCATTTGTGGAATTACATAATGATCATTGACACCAGCTTCGAATTTTACTAGGAAAAGATCCTTGTCCCAGTGGAGGATAAGTGTCTGCATTTTTGTAAATTAATGCACTAGTTGTCATGCTAGATTATTTTACTTGGAATTGTGGTTTATCATATTTGATAAGGTGTAGTACATTAGGTGTACTTTTGAATGTTGCAGACGAGAGAAATTTACTGAAATTGGTGTATTTTCAAACTGGCAGCCAAAGAAGAGGCAAGTTGCGCTTCGCGCGCACACCTCGATCGTGCCTCTTCATCTACCCAAGACCAGGGGACTATCACAGGTATGATTAATATGAAATTTCGTTTCGTGGAATCATCCTGATCATTTCTCATTTGAGCAAAGTTTAAGTATAGAACAATCCTATTTCATTACAAAAGTAACCCCGATTAGCTGTATGTAACGCTTTTATACTTACCTTCTTGTTAAATTTCAATCAAGATTGTTCGAAGGAAGCTTTAATCTTTTAATTGCGAATGTCGATCTTAGTGATTTCTCACCGAGATATTTTTATCTTTATTCCGTTGTTTTAATTAGATATGTAGAGAAGAGTTTTTGGCACGCATGTTAATCGTATGTAATTAATGAGTCTTAACACACAAAGGTCCATTATAAATAGGAAACTACTATTTCCTACGAGTAAATGTACCAATTCAATGGAAATGTTTTCATTAATGGTCATGCAGAGAGAACTTTCTTTTCAGCTTAAAAATTAAGGTTGGCTATTTGCATATATCTAATATATTAATTTGCCTGAAATTGCAATATCTTATTGTAATTTTATGGTAGTTTTGACAATTGTTAAAACATCAAACACTTTCACACTTTTGATATGGTGCCATACTATGCACTGCTGGCACGAACGCTAGTCTGTCAGCTGTACTGTGAGGAAGGTTGACAGCACAGCAAATTGAATCAGTATCGGTTGGTTTTGTAAAAAGCAAAAACACAAGAGGTGTACTGCTACCGCAACGCCGTTAGTAGATGAAAAATGACAATTGGCAACATTGCACTTTTTTGTGAATAGGAAAGGCAACACTGCGTGCGTGTGTTTGTCTCTGTCGTGTTCTGTGTTGTCGTGCCAGACGTTAGTGGCTACACTACTCCCGAGTACCTATCCACTGATATATTTTATATGTGTGGTATTAAATGTAGTTTTTAGTGTGTGTGTTTCTTTTTAATTCGTTTCTAATAACAGTGTTAGTTTTAGTTGTTAGGTTAGGTTTTTGTTTGCAAATGGCTGCTACCAACAAAAAATCCTGTTGTCATTTTTCAATAGCGAAACGAAAGTGCCTATGTCTACTATAAATGAGCCTTCCACCTCACTTGTCATGTACCAAGCTCAACATTGCAAGCTCAAAACATGTCATGTTTGGACAAGAGATGTGGGAATGAAAGAAACGTGTTTGCTTGGTTAGATTGTTGCAGTGTATAACTTGGTGCATCTGCAAGAAAGTTGATGAACTCGGAGCCTTTAAAGAAGATTGAAAAGATGACACTAAAAAAGAAATAATAGAGAGTGTAATTGATGAAGTGATCAAAAGACAACGAACACTGACTTTCGAACAGCTTACTTCATTGCCAATTCTTCTGAAAATGCAAAGGTTAATTGATGTATAAAACTCGGTATAAATAGGTTGTGTGATCCTGTTTTTCATTCCTGGTCTTGTTGAGGTATCTTAGTAAACATCGAAGACTGTATTTTATTTATTTATTTATTATCCCTCTCTTGTTCTGGGCCCAAAACAGGCTTGCGCCCAATTACAGAGTGACCCGCATAATGCTTTTTAGAGGTGCCTCTGCAGAAGGTCTTAAGTTGTTCTATACTACTCCGGTATTTACCTTACGAATTAGGAAAACTGCAGGAAAACCTAATTCGGAGTAGCCGGCAGAATGCTCGAAACTGGTCTAAGGTAATTTCTATCTCTGTAGTAGCTGACACTCTTCTCAATTAAAAAAAAAATGGTTTGACAAGATTGAGGACAAGATAGTAGGTATATTAAGGGACAAGAGTATAATCAAGTCTTTAATGCACGGGCAATGAGTTTAAACGTTGCAAGTGTTTCTTATAGTATTTTTTTATTATATCTGCAATATACTTTAAAAATAAGGGAAATGAAATGTTTATTCTTAATTCCATGATTGCCATGGAAGTGTCACCATTCAATGGTGTCACTTGACGTTTGCTTATAAAAATCACAGTCTTCGCAAATAACATGATTGTAGTTGAAAAAGATGATACAGCGTATTTAAATCTTCTATCCTTGGTGCATTCATTCAAAACTTCAAACAAATACTGCTATTAAGAAGTGGAAAGGTTTGGCAGCATACCCTAAATTGTACGCATCTATGACAGCTTCAAACGAAGGATAAGTACAAGCCAAAGGAATCTTTTGCATTTACAAAAAGCGATCTAAGACGATTCTTTAATTCACCCAGATGACGTTAATCAGTTCCAAATATTCATGGAGAAACGTCATTCCAATCGAAGAAAGGTAGCGGAATGTACCCAAGAGTTAGACCAAGAAATAAACAAAAAATGACAGTGTATATACACTTGGTATGGATGCAGTGCACTGTATAAACACCTTGAATTGCTCAAGGTTGATAAAACTAGAACTGTAGAAGTAGTTGTTGTACAGGGTGTCCCATTTTCGACGCTTTTATAGGGTAATTGTTAGTGTTATCAAAAAAGTAATATGGTGCTCTTCTTCGGTCAAATTTAAAATGGTGATATATTGAGATACGTGGGAAATAAAAAAATTGGCAATTTCGGAATGCCCCTACATTTTGTTAGTTGTTAAAAGAGATACAACAAATAATTAATACAAAAGTTGCTTTATAGTGATTGTTGAATAATCTGTTGTTTTCAAAATAAGTACACGGGGTCAAGTGAAAAAGTTATCGGACCTAACCTCTTTTTTAAATAGAACACCCTGTATATTTTAATCTAAAAGATAGCATATTAAATTCTCAAAAAATTCAATATTCGTTCAACAAGAATTAAGTTAAATTCAAGTATTTTTTTAGATTAAAATATACAGGGCGTTCCATATATTTCCGTATTTTTTTACCCGAACTCGTATACTTATTCCTTGACTTATTCTGAAAACAATTATTATAAAAAAATTTTTGTTATAAACATTTTTCTGTTTCTCTTTTAGCTCTGAAAATATAGACCCATTCGTAAATTGACAATTCGTTTGATTTTTCCCTAATTAACGTTGGTATCTTCTATGGTTTCCGATATCCTCATAGACATCCTTATCTTGGACACAGTATACACATTACATTGATATTTTAAGATATTGATATTTTATCTCAAGTTCTTCCCATTAAAACTAAAAAGAAAGCAACAACCAAACTTACAGGGTGGTTCAAATTCGTGGCTCACAACGCATTTAAAAATTGATCGAAAATAACTGAGATATCACTTTAAATATAAAAGTTGTGGGGTTTATCATAAATCGCCAAGTAAAGTAAACAAAACAAATGAATATCGTAAATTTAGTAAAAAATGCGGAACACCCTGTATATTTTTAAAAAATTGTACACATCTTTTCTTTTTAATTTCCAAAATTAATATGTTGACATTTGCTTTAGCCGTTTGTGAAATATTTGCATTTATAGTATAGCTTCAAATTGTTTTCCAAATCGCAGTTGCCATAAAAAAACAAATAGCCATTATTATTGATTGCTAATTAATATATTATGTTTATCCTGAAAATAACCTAAACCAACTTTACTTTTTAATGTTTTTTTCAATAAACAAAATGTAACAAAATTTTGCAAATGCTGGATATGGTCACCATTACTTCCAATACATTGTTTGTAGTTTGAAGCATGCTCATAAACTCAGGATGTTCATTCAAAAACGGCTAAAGCAAATACTCTCAATATCATACAGAGTGTCCAACATAAGAATGAAGAGCATGGGTAAATCGTAAACCCTCGCGTAAACAAACCATAAGTGAGTCGCTTAAATTAAGACAATTACGTGTTTTAGGGTTTAGTAAAATGGTATTTTAAAAATTCAGATATTCCGATTAGTTCAGAAGATATTGGCGAGGAAATATTGAAGTGCGAGGCCCCTTTGGGGCCGAGTACTTCAATTTCCGAGTCAGGTAATGTCATTTTACTGACGAGTTTTGTATTACATTTTACCCGAAATCGTCTTTTAATATATAATTTCAATTTTTATATAGAACTTTTGATTAATGTCAATCTCTCAGTTATGACAGGAGTCATTATAGACATTTGGAAATGTCACAAATGCGGCCGGTAAAGTGACAAGCGGCAGGAAACGTAATCTTGTCTGGAAACTAAAATTTCCTGACAGAAATTACTCATGTAAATGAAGGTTTCAGGACGATTTTGGGTAAACGAAATTAACCATATTCGTTGTTATTGTTTTCTGGCGCCGTTTGAAAAGATATAAAAAAATAAATAACACTTCCTCATAGGAACTTTTTAAGCTCTACAAGATGGTGCCCACAGATTTTCACTGCGACGTTTCGTCTTTGAGAAACCATCAACTTCATATATGGACCGAAATAAAGTACCTATATACTGCATTCAATTCAGAATCATAAAGAAAAGATCTATTCAATTTTTAAATTTTTCAAAAATATACAGTTCAAAGAAATTTTGGACGCCAATGCGGAAGCATATTATAACTGAACTGTTCAAGGAAAGCTAATATGTCGTCGCGGATTTTTGTGGGAGGTTGAATTGTTTACATTTTGTGTTAAAAGCTATTTTCGATTAGGCTACATATAAATTAAATTGTAACATGTCCTATACATAGGTTTATTTTAGTTATAGATTTGGTATGTAATAAAACACATATTTTTAGTTCGCGATGACAGATAAGTTGAATGAACATTGAAATTTTATGCAATGAAATTTGGCCTGTTGAGACTGATTTAAGAACACTGAATACGCTACGCGAGTTGGATTGCGGAATAAGTTACGTTATTGAACTCAGTTTTTGACAATTACAGCCTTATCATTCCTAAAATAAGTTAGGTGTCCCAAATTTTCAGTGATTTACAATCACTTCCAATTTATGCACTAAAAACGAAAAAAAATTGTCCAAATGGGCCCATAGTAAACAGTTTGCACGTTTCGCAACCATTTCCAGCCATGAATTTCATCTGTCAACCACGTTGTTCCTTCAAAGTGCTCGAACGCGATCAGTGGCCTACTGACAAACTTTGAGGTTTCGTAGATACCAGATATTCAAAACCTGTGTAAAACGTTCAAGTAGCAAAGATAATACTA